GTCAAAGTACCATAGGCCTCCTTGAGAAACATAAACAAGTTTCTGCCGGTACCATCGAATTCCGAGGCCTTAGTCAAAGCAGCGCCAGTGATACTGTTAAAGACAACTGTAGAGATAATTTCATCCATAGTAGCAACCAATTGAGCAACTTCGTTTGAGTCTTCCAGACCGTCAGTTCCGGTCTCTCCATTGATCAAATAAGCATATAACCCAAGACCTTTCATCTTCATCTTGACACTGATCAATGTGAACCAATCATAGAAGTTTGATGAACCTTTCAACTTTTCATCAGCAGCAAACGAAGTAAGAGCATTTGAACTCATAACCTGTTGAAGTTTTGTAACCCTAGTTACAGTAGTCATTACCAATAATAAATACTATCAAACTATCCTTGTTATTATTCTTATTCTTCTTAACTAACTAACTATTTAAATAACAAAATATAAACTCAAACTATGGGGAGAGGCCCCATATTTATAATAAGACCAATATATATGATTTGTAATCATACATCCATCTAGAACATTCTAGATGATTAATCATATGCACAATGACTAATTATTAGGCTGAGTCATAATCACATGCAGATTATATATTGCTCAGCCATGGTAAATAAACCGTCTTATCCGAGACTCGAACCCAGGATCTATTCAACACATTGATACCCGTGTTAACCGTTGAGCCATCTGTACAAAACCCAATATATGACTTTGGATTGTCAACTCAACAATAGCAGTCAACATTATCTTGCTTTTGCTGATGATATCACAGTTTTCCTCAAAGATAAAAGAGATTATTCCAAAACAATGAAATGTATTAGACTATTTGAAAAATTCAGTGGCAGCAAACTCAATGAAAAGAAATCCCAACTAATCATACCAACTGATAATTATCCATTTTTGACACCATTCCCATTTGAGATTGCTGATGAAAACTTTCAATTGACATATTTGGGGATAACTATTGGACCATCAGTGACATTTTGGCCGGAAACATTGCAGCGTGACCTCTATATCAAGTACAAGTTATCAAACATGACCAGCTTGCTGATTCAATCAAAAATAGAAGCATTCAACACATATATTGCATCCAAGTTCTATTACAAAGAACTACACCAACCTTTGTTACCCAATCAGTTGAATCAAATTGACACATCGATTAAGTTATTGGTCAAGCAAGATACACCTATTTCTTTGGATACACTCAAGACACACAACAACAAAGGCGGTTTCTCAATGATTGATTTAAAGTCTCAACTCCAACACCGAAGAGCCAAAATTTTCCAGGATTTGTTTTTGGATAGTCACACTAAATATAACCAGATATTACGTTTCAAAATTCAATCAAGTACAGTGTTTTCATTTTTTATTCGTACCAACCACCGGAAATGTTCATACCAGTGGCAAAAAATAATTCATACCGACCCCCGGTATTTTTCGTACCACCGCAGCGGGATTTATTCAGACCATCTAAGAAAAATAGTTCATACTATTGCACTTCAATTATTCATACCAACAGAATACAAAATTCATACTAAATGCATAAAATTCTTATGCTTTCATTAATATTTTATCTTTGATATTATTAAACATGTTATAGGGGACCCGCACACCCAATAAAGCCCCTTTGCAATACTCATTTACCATTTCAAAGGCTCATAACCAAATTTTGGAGTGGTTTCGTCCTTCCTTAAAATTTTAAATTTTCATCAATTTGTTTTGGAGCTTTGTTGCGTCTTTATGTAATTTTTTTTATAGTTTTTACTTTTTTTTTTTGGTTTGTTTTCTGTATTTTGTTTTCTAATTTTTTTTCTTCATCTTTGGTATTTGTTTTCAAAAGAGCTGCTGTTGTAAACAGAGATCAATATGTCTAGAAGCATGTCTGTAGAATCCCTTGTAACTATCAAGGGAAATATTTTCTGTGGCTTCTTTCACCCTTGGAGTTAATTGCTCCTTCTTGCTCAAGTTTGATCTTTTGACTTTACTCTTACACACTGACCAGAATTCTTCTATAGCATTCAACCCTGGAGAATAAGGAGGTAAAAACACAAGTTCCAAGCCACTCAGTGCCACTAGTAACTGAAGATCACGTCGTTTATGAATGGCAGCATTATCAAGGATCAAATATTTCATACCTTTGAGCTCCTCATTATTTTCTATTTGCTGGATCACTGACTTCACAAAACTGTAGAAGTGATTAGCTGTAGTACCTTTACTCACTTTGTCAATGGTCGTTTCTGAATCAAGTTTTCTCTTCTTATTGGATGTAGCCACTGGAGTTCTGACCTTTAATTCAATACAACCTTTGACAGAAATTGCCCCAATGAACGAAATATTAAGCCCTCTGGTTACGGGAACAGTAAGAACTGCTTTTTCACCCACAGCAGACCATCCATACTCACGCCGCATACTGATATTGAAACCTGCTTCGTCGATGAAAATACAGTTTTGACTAAAGTCGAGCTTGTCTTTATACTTCTCTGCCCACTCGAGTCTCTGTTTCTTCAATTCCTCCAGACTTCTTCTCAAAGCCCATTTAGAAATACGTTTGAGACTTAGCTTACAGACCTTGGTTACAAAGTTATAGATTGTTGTAGCCTTGGCTCTTACATTGGTGAAGGCTTTCTTGAGTCTCTCCAACATAAAATCGAGAGTCACTGTAGCATCTTCCTTTATCAATTTTTGAAGGAATTCCTTATGTTCATCAGTGAGAAGGGGTTTACGACCTCTTTTCTTTATTGGCTTCGAGATACCATTTAATTCATTGACAAGTATTTTGTTCCACTTTCTTTTCCATGTGTAAGCAGTTTGCAAAGGTATATCTTCTAATTTTGCAGCCTTGTAAGCTGATACACCTTCTTCCATGACCAAGTGCCAAAATCTTTGTTTGACAGCTTGATTATAATACCGGTACGAACCTCTATATCTTCGTTCTTTCATTTCTGTTTCCATCTTAGCATCTTCTTCTTCTTCGAAAATAGGATCAATTTCCATAATACCAGGTTTTTCAAAATGCTTATAGTCACTGTAACTAAAGCAAGCTTCAACTGGTGCTATTTCAGACTCTAAAGTCATTTCACTGGGTTCAGCATAGAATCTATTACCTAGGCCATCAACATACCCATCAGTTAGTAGCTTGGCTTTCAAGTCCATACTTAGTTTTGATGGTAAAATCTTATGCTTTTTTTTGTAAGTAATCTGGTGATCATATAAAGACCGAATTGAATGTCAAAAGTGGGAATTCATCATCTTAAATGGAGAACAGCTCCTACCATACATTCGTTCCCATTTCTTGAAAACCGTAATCACGTGCTACTATTAATATTATTATAGATATCCGGTTTTATAGAAAGTAGCACAGAATTATGGAAAAAATGAGTATAATTTGTTTAAACTGAGTAGCTTAGAGGCTTATAGAGCCAGTCACTTAAAAAAAGAAAGGAATTGATATGAATTTTATTTCCTGTTGGTATGAATAAATAAAATGCAATGGTATGAATTATTTTTCTTAGATGGTCTGAATAAATCCCGCTGCGGTGGTACGAAAAATACCGGGGGTCGGTATGAATTATTTTTTGCCACTGGTATGAACATTTCCGGTGGTTGGTACGAATAAAAAATGAAAACACTGTATCAACAACATCATTCAAAAAACATCACCAACAAAATCACCAAAGGATGATTATATCAAAACTCATTATTGGTGGGTGGTATTACTTGAACTAGCGGATGACATTGAGAATACCATGTTGTAGTTGTTGAAGTTTTGTAACCCTAGTTACAGTAGTCATTACCAATAACAAATACTATCAAACTATCCTTGTTGTTATTCTTATTCTTCTTAACTAACTAACTATTTAAATAACAAAATATAAACTCAAACTATGGGGAGAGGCCCCATATTTATAATAAGACCAATATATATGATTTGTAATCATACATCCATCTAGAACATTCTAGATGATTAATCATATGCACAATGACTAATTATTAGGCTGAGTCATAATCACATGCAGATTATATATTGCTCAGCCATGGTAAATAAACCGTCTTATCCGAGACTCGAACCCGGGATCTATTCAACACATTGATACCCGTGTTAACCGTTGAGCCATCTGTACAAAACCCAATATATGACTTTGGATTGTCAACTCAACAGTAGTTTTGTAACTCTAGTTACAAAAGACATTGATAACAATAATATTCAATAATATTTATTCCCTTGTTATACTTGTTATACTTGTTTTACTTGTTAACTATCTAAATTATATAAAGGACAAACTCAGACTTAGGGGGGCATGGCCCATATTTATATTAATCTCAATGGGTTCTAGAAGGTTCCATAAGCTCTAGAATGTTCCATGGAATTCTGGAAGGTTCCATAAGTTCTAGAAGGTTCCATGAGTTCTAGAAGGTTCCATGAGCTCTAGAAGGTTCCATAAGTTCTAGAAGGTTACATGAGTTCTAGAAGGTTCCATGAGCTCTAGAAGGTTCCATGAACAATGACTAACCACATAACTTTGGATTGCCAACTCAACACGAGGATCTTTTTGGAGACCTTGCTAATATGGGCCATCTTGATGGCGCTAATGGCCGCGAACTTGGCGTGCTTCTTTGATTTACCTTTCTTGGACAATAATTCTATTGGTTTGGTTTGATGTCTGAGAGTAGCAGTGTGTTGGGTTGTAGAGGTTTCGAGTTCATCCATGGATTGGTCTGCATCAGTAGAGAGGCCTTCCTCTAAAGCATCTTCATCATTGGATGGGTAGTTCTTTTCCAAAGTATCATCCTCATCAATAATTGAATCATCAACATCTTCTTCTTCATTTGCCAATAAGTCAAAAGGATTTGAATTTGGTTTAGAATATTCGGGAGTAGCCGGTTTATTCAGTTTTATTTTTCTTTTTTCCACAGTCTGAAAACCATAGTTTAAATTGTGGTTTGGTTTGACTGGTTTTCCAGAATTTTGTTTCGGAGAGTGTTTTTCTGGATCTTCCGGATTCACAATTGGTGCTCTTTGTTGCTTTTTGAAATAACAATCTTTTGCCCTATGGGATAATTTCTTGCAAATGGCACAAGATGAAGTCTTGCAGTCAAAACGAGTGTGTTCACAGGAACCACATGCAGTGCAGTGGACGCATTTCGTGATGACTCTGGAGCGGAAATTTTTGTCATTGAAGAGTGGAAGGGATTTTCCTGAGTCAATTTCAATATAACCATAAGTGACAATACTGGCAGCTTTGCTAGCTTCTTCCGTAAAGTGAGCGGTGTTGATTGGAAAGAAGGATGATGGATCAATTCCGGATTCATTGTGTTTAACAAAGACCCTGGCGTGTAGGTATAATTTCCAACTGTAGCTTTAAGGTGGATGTTAAGATATTCAATTAAAAGATTTCTGTCCTTCTTGAAGATATCAGAGCCTGTATCCTGAGGGTTTGGGATGAAGTTTGAGTTAAGGCAGATCTTCTTATTAAAAATAACCAGGTGGTTGAGGGCCCCTTTTAAGTTTTCCCTGATTATGTTTGAAAAACAGAATTTTTTTTTGGGTTTTGAGAATTTTCGATTTTTTTTTGGTTTTCGGAGTTTTCATTAATAAAATCAGTAGAAATAACGGCTTGGGTTGGAATAACAGGATTATGCATGTCAATGTCAGTGTCACATGCTGCATGAGAATTGCGATCGAAATCAACTGAAGAAACATTAATTGCTGGAGAGGTAGTTGGGGTAGAAATGGCGTTGGAATCCATGTTTTGGTCCGCTTCAGGATCTTCTGAAGCAGTTAAAAAGGTTTCAACAGTACTATTAATAGTATTGTCGGCTGCATCAGTAATTTCTTCATCGGAATCTTGATCTTTAGCTTGTTTGTTTATGTTTGCTATCGGGATCGGGGTTTCAGATGTTGCGCCAACATCCAATGAAGAGCCCAAAGAAACCGGGGTTTCAATGATTGGGGGATCATTAGTAGGGTCGGTGGAGTAGTTTGGAGTAGCTTTATTACTATTTCTAGTGGTTCTCATGATAATATTATTCGACTTTTGACCGTTTTTTTTTTTTTTCCTTCAAAGTTCGATTTATTAATAAATATATAATTATATATATCTATGTAAAATCTTATAAGCTAATGCTCATTATATATGTTAGGGAAAACCATATCATATGGTGAAAAACCCTTTAGTGATAATTATTAGTATTTAAATAAAATGTTTTTTTTGTTATTGTTTTTGTTAATTTTTTTTTTTTTTTTTTAAAGACAAACTTGATTCCAGAATCTAGTGTGCCCTTACACACTGATTGCAGCAACACATAGATGAGAGCGTTGATGGTTTAGTGGTAAAATTTAACATTCCCATTGTTAAGCCCCGGGTTCGATTCCCGGTCTACGCATTTTTTTCGAATTGACTGTCGCACCGGGCTCCATTCACACGAACTAAAAATTTTTTTCATGCCGTTAATTTGCAATTATTCGTACCATTCCACTTTAATTATGTTGAAATGTAGCTTTAAGTAAAGTGCTAGCTTTAAGTAAAGTGCAAGCTGTAACTAAAAGTTTGATTTTGCCTATCACTTAACTTAAGGGTACTTTATGTGATTTTGTGTACTATGGTGGAGCAATGTTTTTCCGACAAGAAAAATGCCGGACACCTATGTACAATAATTACCTCTTCTGGTAAAATTGCGCTCCGTTGTCGCAAGCTCGAGATCCTACAATCAAAAGGTATGTTGTTGGATTTTTGTAACCCTAGTTACAGTAGTCATTACCAATAACAAATACTATCAAACTATCCTTGTTATTATTCTTATTCTTCTTAACTAACTAACTATTTAAATAACAAAATATAGACTCAAACTATGGGGAGAGGCCCCATATTTATAATAAGACTGTAATGGTTTAGTTGGGTAACATAGTAGTTAAAGTATATTAAAGAAGAATAAAAACTAAAAGGAATAGATTAAGTAAGCTTTTTATAGGTGAGAAAAGAAAGTAAGACTTACCTAAAAGGGAACTCAAAGGAAAATAAAAAGGTAGTCGGAGATAAGGAGGTTGTCCGAGATAAGGAAAGGAGTTAAATAAAGAAGAGAGAAGAAAAGATAAGAACAATAAAAAGAAAGAGAAAGAAAAGTAAGAAAGTGTCTAGATCATTACACCCCTGTCGTAATTCCTTTCCTTATAGCTTAGCAAGCAATTCAGGATGTGTTTCAGCGTAGGATTGTAATAAATCAGGAGCTGTTTTCTTAAGTTCCGACATACGAACCCATTGGTAATTATCAGGAATATCTTCACCTAAAAATTTAATGTAAATTAAGAAACCTTTGGCTTCGCGCTGGTGTTTGACCAATCTTTCAATTTCTACTTCTGTGGAGCCATCCTTGTATTGCTTCAAGTGAACTTGTTGGTTATTATCAGGCGAGAGGAAACCTTCAGGGACAGCGGATTTTAAACGAAGTTGAGAAACGTGGAAAACATCAGACATTTTGTAAGAAGGTGGTAGCTCAATTTGGTAATTGACTTCGGTGAGTTTTTTGAGGATTTTGAATGGTCCAACAAATTTGGTGCGTAATGAACGGACTTGATTCTTGTTGTGAACATCGCTAAACGTAGGTCTCGATGAAGCATTGATAAAGACTTCATCATCTGGATGGAACTCTATGTGTTTGTGTTTGGAGTTGTAGGATAAACGTTGCTTGGTGTGTGCTTCGTGGAGGGCAGCTTGAGCGGCTTGAGAGTATCTATCGAGGGTTTCAACAATATGAGTAGCAGATCTCTCCCCCCCTTGTTGAAAAAGCAGGAGTTGGGAAGGAAAAGTGGGAGTATACCCAAGGTCGACTTCAAAAGGAGTAAGATTATTGAGGGCGGTTGAGGGGGTTGAATTGATGGTGTACTCTGCGAAAGGGAGAAGTTCAATCCACAGGTTGTTCTCATCAATGTAAAGGCGTAAAAAGTCTTGAAGGATTCTGATGTGTCGTTCTGCTTTGCCATTGCTCTGGTGGTGACGGACAACGGACTTATAATGTTCGATGTGCAAAAGCGAGAAGAGAGAATCGATCAACTTATTGTCAAACTGGGGACCGCGGTCGGAAACAAGGCGGTTTGGTACTCCGTGGTACGGAAAATATTCAAAGAGGAGTAGCTGAGCGAAAGCACTAGCATCGAAAAGTTTGTTGACGGGGTAAAAGTCAGTCCGAGAAGTAAATGTATCAACAAGGACGAGGACAGAATCAACTGTGGTACCGGCATGTTGGGTTGGTGGGAAACCAGAAACAATATCTAATGAGATGTCAGACCAGCGACCAGATGGAGGAGGAGTGGTTTGTTGATGACCATGTAGATAGTGTGGAGATTTGACACGGTTACAAGTGTCGCAACTAGCAACATAATGACTAACAACGTCTCTCATCTTTGGGAAGAAAACTGCCTTTCTCAAGATATGGCTCATTCTTTCAATACCAGGATGACCTTGTGATAGGGGAAGGTGAGCAGCATCTAGGATGGATTTGAGCAAGGAGTGTGGGATACAAGTTCGGGTATCCTTGTAAAGGATACGGTGATCAGTGTCAGTGTAGAAACCAGCTTTGTCAGGAACTGTTGTGGCTTTCTTGAAAATTTCCTTGAAAAATGGATCCTCTTTGTAGTCGTTTGGTTTAATTTGATATTTTGAAGGATCAATAGCGACTTCAGTGGAAGGGTGAGCTGTAGTATTATTCGCATGAAAACATGACGGTTGGTAATTGTCATAGCGAGAGAGGAAATCAGCGGAATCGTTCTTAAAACCAGGTAAGAAATGGATCATGAGACAGAGAGAATTTCTGAAAGCCAGCGGTGATGTTTTGGTTCAGGGGTTTCACTCTGAAAGATCTGGGAGAGCGGACGATGATCGGTATAAATGTGGGTGGTGAACGGGTTGTTGGCAAGAAAGAAGGAGTACTTGCGAACAGCAAACTTGATAGCATAAAGTTCCTTTTCGGTCACGGTCCAGTTAACCTGGAAAGGATTGAGTTTCATGGAGCGGTATTCAATGGGGAACTCTTTACCATCAAAAGATTGCCAAAGGGTGGCACCAACTGCATACTGACTTGCGTCAGTGGTGATCTTGAGCGGTTTACTTGCGTCAAAAGGATGTAGGGCATGTTGGTCAATTTCTAGCTGTTTGAGTTTGTCGAAAGACTCCTGGCATGCGGAGGACCAGTGGAAATTTATAGCTTTCTTTAGCAACTCGGTAAGAGGAACAGTCATTGCAGTGTAGTTAGGAATGAACTCGTTTATGTATGCAAGGTGTCCTAAGAATTGTTGGACTTGTTTCTTGGATGTGGGGACGGGGAAGTTCTTAATCTTGGTGCTAGTATCCTCGGTAGGGGCAATGAGGATATGATTACCGTCGACATAGAGAGTGTGTCCTATCCAATCGAGTTTCTGAGCGGCGAAGACGCATTTGTCACTATTGATGCGAAGTTGATGCTCGTGAAGGGTTTTCATAACTGCTTCTAGATGACGGATATGCTCTTCCTTGGAATCGGAGAAAATCAAAATATCGTCTTGGTATAGACGAATGTATTCGGAATGGCTGTGGAGAAGCTGTCTGAGATAACGGGAGAAGACTTCAGGGGCATTAGCAATACCAAAAGGCAAAACATTCCAATAATAATATCCGAAGGGAGTACGAAAAGTGGTGCAATGAGCCGTGGATGGATCAAGTCTGATATGATGAAAAGCAGAACTTAAATCAAGGGTAGTCATGTAACGGCCCTTAATATTAGCGACTAATTCGTTAAATTTGGTAACCGTGGGTGGAATGGTTTCAGTGATCGCGTTGAGTGGTCGGTAATCGATAACCATACGTTTTTCGGTGGTCCTAGGTTTTCCAACGAAGAAGGGAAGGCAATAATGATTGGTTGGTTCTGTTTTGACGATGAGATTGCGACGTTGAAGCAGATCGACTTCTTCACGAAGTTGGGCTTGGAGATAGTGATCCAACAGGTAAGGCAGGCGTGGAGGGATGGAAGACAAAGGACTGGTAAGGTTGAATTTGTATGCGTGACTGTTAAGTTCAGGCAACTGAAATTCACCGGTTGTAACATAAGTGTCAACAAGACTAGTGATACGTGTGTCTGGAAGAGGGACAATCGGAGGATTAAAAGTGTTAATGAAATCCTTCCCGCAGATGATTAAATCGTCTTGTGGGACAATCTGGAAAGTGTGTTGACAGAGGGAATCGGCGTCTGTTAAGAAGAATTTGATTCTAGTGGTCTGGTTGGGGAACTCAACAGTACCCACGATAGTGCCCACTGAGATTTGGGGATGGTCTTTATTAGTGAAGGTAATTAGGCCGTGTTGATCAACGATATTGCGACTGATAAAGGAGGCATTGCTACCGTTGTCGACAAGAGGACGGAGGGTTTCGCCGGAGGCGAGCTGTAACGCAGTATAATCTAAATCAGTGGATGAGGTGTTGGCTGCAAAGAAATTCTTGATAGGCGCTTGGTGATGTTTGCTTCTGGATTTGTTTTTCGTGTTAGACCAAAGGTGGTTGAAGTATTCGTGAGCGTCGGGATATTTTTGAGATGGGATTGGCCTGGTCATTTGTCTGAATAGATGGCGGAGTCGCAGGTTCTTAGGGATAGCTATGCGAGTGAAAGCTGTGACAGAGTAAATGGATAGAGCTGGAGTTAGGGCTGCGAGCTCGATTAATTTGTAGAGTTCTTCTTCAGTAATTGAAACGGAGTTAGCGCATTTCTTAAAGGCTAGGCTGACGGAGTGAGCTTCCTCGTTGATAGCTTTGCGCGAGTTCTCCCATCCTAAAGCTCGAAGTTTAAATTCGGTAACGTCTTGGACTGGGTTAGGGTTGAAGAAAGTATTAAAGAAAGGTTGATGCAGAGAGTTAAGAGTTTGCAAGGAACGAATGAGACGACCAATCTGGAGAGGTTTCCGCCTGATTTTAGGAAGGACTTCGTTTAAGAACTGGTTAACTGCAATGTTCTTCAGCGCGTCGGTTGGTATGGAATATCTGTCGAACTTGTAGTGGACTTTAGGGTCTTCTGAAGCGATTGTGGCTGAAAAATCAAATTGGTTCCAGATGTAGTTAAATGGAGTGATCAAGGTGGAGAGTGATGTTGAAGGCCTTTTAAGAGAGCGACGTGGCTCAAGCTCAAACGATTGGTGAAGATGGTAACTGGTTCTTCTGTCAGCGGGTGGAGGATTAGCGATCTTTGACCAACCGGCAATACGTGTTGAAGTTTTGTAACCCTAGTTACAGTAGTCATTACCAATAACAAATACTATCAAACTATCCTTGTTATTATTCTTATTCTTCTTAACTAACTAAATTATATAAAGGACAAACTCAGACTATGGGGGCATGGCCCATATTTATATTAATCTCAATGTGTTCTAGAAGGTTCCATAAGCTCTAGAATGCTCCATGGAATTCTAGAAGGTTCCATGAGTTCTAGAAGGTTCCATGAACAATGACTAACCACATAACTTTGGATTGCCAACTCAACACCCTCTCTCAATTCAAAGTCTCCATACCACAGAGCCTTCTCAACTCCAAGAATTGAGGGGCAGCAAGACCTTTTGTAAACATATCAGCAATCATAACACCAGTGCTCAAGTACTCCAAATTGATAGAGCCAGATCCAATGTGGTCCCTGATAAAGTGAGTCCTGATGTCAATGTGTTTGGTGCGATGATGGAAAGCTGGATGCTTTGCCATCTCAATACACCCTTGGTTATCATCAAACATCCTCACTGGACCAGTATTGATCCCAAATTCCTTGAACACTTGCATTAGCCATAATGCTTCCTTGACTCCTTCACTTAGTGACATGTATTCAACCTCTGCCGTAGAAAGAGCAACAGTAGCTTGCTTCTTAGATCTCCATGTGATTGCACCATTGGCATATTTGAACACAAACCCAGTAGTAGACTTTCTGTCTGACTTATCTCCAGCCCAGTCAGCATCACAGTATCCAAGAAGCTCACCGTTATCATTATTGCCAGCCTCATATCTTATTCCCAAATCTTTGGTTCCTTTCAAGTATCTTAAAACTCTCTTTGCTGCCTTATAATGCACCTCCTTTGGTTCCTTGAGGTATCTGGATAGAACACCGACGATATAGCTGATATCGCTTCTAACAGTATTAGCAGCAAACAATAATTTTCCAACCAAAGATCTGTAAGCTGTGGCATCACAATCCTCAGCACTGTTGTCCACCAAGGTGAGCTCCTGACCAGCAATAGTAGGCGTCTTATCTGGGTTGCAATTCTCCATTCCAAATTCCTTTAACATAGAGCCAATATAGTCTTTCAAGCTCATGTTTATACCTCCATTATCTTGCGAGATGTTGATACCCAAAAATTTCCTGACTATTCCCAAGTCCTTCATCTTGAAGACATTCATCAATTCACTTTTCACTTTCCTGATGGCAAAATCTGAGGTACCAGTTATCAATAAATCATCAACGTAAAGCGCAACCATCACAAAAGACTTTTCGGATTTCCTTGAATATAGACAATATTCAGCACCGTTTCTGACAAAACCAAGCGACGACAAAACACTGTGGATTCTTTCATTCCACACCAAGGGAGCCTGTTTCAAACCATACAAGCTTTTCTTCAATCTCAAGACACTGGTTTCCCTTCCTTTAACCACATACCCTTCTGGTTGAGTCATGTATAATTCTTCCTGAAGAGATCCGTTGAGGAATGCAGTTTTCACATCCATCTGATGAACTGCCATTCCATTCTTAGCTGCAATACTCAACATCAACCTGATAGATTCATAACGCACCACAGGTGAGAATGTCTCATTGTAGTCAATACCCTTCACCTGTGTGAATCCTCGAGCAACAAGTCTTCCCTTGAAGACTCCGTTATCTTTCTTTGCAAAGACCCAACGACATGTAATTGGCTTTCTTCCTTTCGGCAACTCGACCAATTCATAAGTGGAATTCTCCTTGTGAGCCGCAATTTCTTCGTCACAAGCGCGCTTCCATTCTGCACTTTCGTTGCTCTTCATGGCTTCCTTGTAGTTTTCAGGAACATCAGTTCCTCCAGATATAGCGTCGGCTTCACCAGCCATGAAGCATGTAGCAACGTAATTCACAGGTTTGTATTCTAACAACTTGCTTTTGGTATCATCATTCAGTTCTGATTCTTCATCACAATCACTTGGCTCTTCAATATGAGGCTCAATTTTCGAAACCACCAAGTCATCATTGCTACTGCCATTTGGAACAAACGAAGTCAACTCTTCTGAATTTCTTGTATTCCTGAACTTCTTTCTTTGTGGTTTCTCAGTAACACTTTCCCTCTCTGAATCTGAGCTGAATGTGTCAGGCTGTTCTTCTATTTCAGCCAAAATACCAAATGGGTTTCTCTTAATTTTACCCCTGCTTTCCTTGACTCTAGAACCTGATGATCTTTTTCTTTTCGTAGCAGTAACCAACTGAAAAGCATCATCATAAACTTTTGAGGGAATCAATTCTCCATCCCCATGCTCCTTGGTTTCAACCATAGTCATTTCAACATCCTTGGTAGACCCATCTCTTTCAGCTGGAGCTTCTTCACCAAATTCACTCATATCCGATACCATACTTTCATCATCAACTGAGATCCGAGACGCGGTTTCATCTTCATGGTATCCTGAACTATTCACCCTGCTGATATCAACATCAACCAATTGCTCATCCGTAATAATTGGAGCAGCAGATATTCCACCAACACGACCGCCGCCACCACCGCCTCCGCCAGAAACTCTATTCTCTTCTCCTGGTATAGCAGTGGAAGACACTTTCACATCTTGATAATAATACCTTGACTCATCGAAGTTGACTTGGGTAGCAGTTATAATTCTGTTGGCTTCAGGATCAAACATCCTGTAGGCACACCGGTTTCTATCATAACCAAGCATGATGCACATTTTCGAAGTAGCACCAAATTTTCCATACCTCAACTTCTGAGGGACAACAACATATCCAAGGCAACCAAAAACTCTAAGATGATCCAATCCTGGATTGTAACCAAACCACCGACAATATGGTGTCCGAAAACCAATTATTCTCGAAGGTGTTCTATTGATCAAGTAAGCAGCAGTACGAACGCCTTCGGACCAGAATTGGGCAGGCATAGAAGCCCCAGTAAGCAACGATCTCGTTTTATCCTGGAGCGTTCTATTCATCCGCTCCGCAGTACCATTCTGATAACTATGGTGTGGGACGGTCAGCTCGTGGGCAATCCCTTTGCCTCTTAAATACTCATGAAGCTCAATAGTTACAAACTCGCCACCATTATCGGTTCTTATGGTACCAACTTTGAACTCTTTTCCTTGTGATTTGAACATCGTTTCAGCATAGTTGATGAAATCAATAATCTGAGAGGTACATTCTGACTTATGGGTAAGGCATGTTGAGTTGGCAATCCAAAGTTATGTGGTTAGTCATTGTTCATGGAACCTTCTAGAACTCATGGAACCTTCTAGAACTTATGGAACCTTCTAGAATTCCATGGAACATTCTAGAACTCATGGAACCTTCTAGAATTCCATGGAACATTCTAGAACTCATGGAACCTTCTAGAATTCCATGGAACATTCTAGAGCTTATGGAACCTTCTAGAACCCATTGAGATTAATATAAATATGGGCCATGCCCCCATAGTCTGAGTTTGTCCTTTATATAATTTAGATAGTTAACAAGTAAAACAAGTATAACAAGGGAATAAATATTATTGAATATTATTGTTATCAATGTCTTTTGTAACTAGAGTTACAAAGCTACAACAAGGCATCTAACCTCTACCCACCTAGAATAACCATCAACTATGGTGAGAAAATACTTTGCCGAATCAACAGAGCCATAACTAAATGGACCACAAACGTCCATATGCAATAATTGTAAAGGTCTCTTTGGTTTGGAACCTTGACCATTCTTTGGCTTTCTCACAACGCCTTTAGTGGACAAGCAACAGTCACAAATAATGGTGCTGTTAGTTCCACTAATTTTCCCTTTTACCAACTTGAAAATATTATTAAACTTCTGCATGATGTTTGCACTAGGGTGGCCTAGCCGCTCATGCCAGAGGCTACCCTTGTCGGTACTCTTAAACGCAACACCATTAGTTTCGGTAGATAATCTGTAAAGCCCATTCATCAGAGGATCCTTGGTACCAATAACCTTCATTTCCGGATACATTTTCACTTTGTTTCCTTCAAACAATAATTTCGCACCATTCAGAGTAGCCTTGGAAACTGAAATCAAGTTGGCTTTTGAGTCTGGAACATAATAAGCATCTTTGATTTCAATATTGGTATTATCACGTAATTTGAACTCCGCAGACCCAATACCTGCAACAGCAACACCACCGCCATCAATCCCGGAGATCTCTCCTCCAAACGGTCTGATCGTCTTGAACAAGCTCTTATTGTTTAAGATATGTTGCGAGGCACCTGAATCAAAATACACCCTGGAGTTGTTACCATGCATTCCCATAAATGCATACCACGATGGTGATGGGTTTCTACCATCTCCAATCAACTTTTGTGCCTTTGGTGATTTGCAGTCTCTTTTAAAATGACCAGGCTT